TAAATCCCTGTGTGTCCTCCTGCAGCACTCCCGAAGGACAACAGGCAAGACAAAAAAGTCTGACGTGTTGAGTAAAAACTGCTATTTTTAGCACATTTTTAGGGCCGATGTGTTGCTACCAGACGTACAGTGTGAGCAGTCAGGTCGCATGCGAGAACTGGGTCGTGCAGTGTGAGCACACGACTCGTGAGATCTGCTCTGCGAGGAAGTCGTACAGTTTGAGCTGAAGCTGAACGCTGCGAGTGAAAAAGTCGCACAGTGTACGCCCGGCTTAAGAAAAAAACAAAAATAGAAAAGCTATTTTCTAAAAAGGAATACATTTTCACACATTCAGACAAAATGGTATCTAGAAACAGTCAATATTAAAGAAACTGTGATAGTATCAAGAAAACGTGAGGACATATGCAAGACTGCTGGAGATGTGCACCAGCCCCCATGCGACCCTGCGTGGATAAGCGGGTAAAGAAAATGGATGGATGGATATGCTGAAGCAGCCCAACATCTGTTTGAATGACTACAAGCTTCCATCAGAAAACTGAGCTGACCACACTAAAAAGTTAGCGACGTTAGCTCAACACAAAGTCAATGTGATTTTCATTTATATAAAGAATTGGTCCATTGTTCGCAACCTTTCTTGTTTCTTACAGATTATTTTCTGTTTTATCAATGTTTCTTCTTGTCTTTTATTACATAACAACTTGGATAGATTTAAAAAAATAATTTTTGCAAAACCAGTTCCTGAAATTTAGATGCTTGTTCTGCCTCAAAGTGTTTTTGTTGGACCATGATTGTGTTTCGCTGCTAATGAGGAAGTCCTACTGTTGTGCACTAATGCCCTTTTTAGCGCGTTCTAGATTCTTATTTTAGTTCAGGTCAGGACTCTGCGGTGGCTGGTCCACGTGTGAAAACGACGCTCTCCTGAGCCTCTCCATTTCATCCTCTTGTCATCATGTTAAATTCTTTCAAAGTAAGTTCTGGTATTTTTTTAACAGGACTTTGAGGACAATTAAACAAATATAAATGGATTAATAGGGAAGGAGCATGGGACGAAGAGTTTTAATGAGGACCATATCTTATTTGTGCTTCAACCTCGATTTATCAATTAATCAGCAAGGATACTTGGAGAGGAACATAAAATATAGGATTCAGAGTGGAAAATGTGCCATTCAATGCCATAACTTTAACTTTCAAGAGAGTTTTATGACACTGCTGGCAGCTTAATTAGACCACTGTTTATTGTAAAAAGTACAAAATATTCTTGATCTACTTTTTACAGGACAGGAAAAAAACTTTCTTAGTGTCTTTGTCATCCTTGTGCAACTAGCCAATATGTATGCCTTTAAAACATGACTAATTGTAGAGGACCTGAGGCTGAATGGTATATTAAATCCTCATTGCAAGAAAAATGTGGCAATGTCAGCATTACAAATGCCAAGTGGGCTGTGACTGCTGAGGACGAATTTTTAATGGGGATGTTTAGAAATATTGGTTGAATTTCCTTGCTTGAGTCAGCGGGCCTCAGACTCGTGTCACTTGACTTTTGAACCTGTTGGAAAAATCTGCACGACAAATTTTCTCTCAGAATAGTCAGAGGAGTCGTCACAGGAGGCTGGAATTTAGGTGCAGCGAGACAGAAAGTGACAGAAACGTGAGAGGCCTTGGCCACCTAATAGTGAATTAAATAAGTCATTTGTAAACAAGTTGTGATGTAATTCAAATACTTTGTGAATATGCTGCAAACAGATGAGTTACAAGGCAGTATTTTTGATTTGGGCTAAAAGCTTAAGGGATTTTTATGTGTAATCACTGCTTAAATCTGGTTAAAACGCTTAGATGTATTTTCTCTGACAGAGGTAACAATCGATCTGAAAAACTCAAACTGTTTTTGTTGTACATAGGTTAAACTTTTCAAGTTGCAAAGTTTATTTTTTTCATATTCAAAGAACCAAAAGAATGCTTAGCAGTGCACCAGTATGCTGAATTTACCCGAACTGGCATCCACCTAATTACCTCCCCTTTTGGGGGAGCCGGGCTCCCCTCCCCCACAGTTCGAACCCTGACCAAATCAAAGTGAATACATCTGTAAATTTGCCCGTTTTCTTGCTCTATGACAAATTACATCATAATTTCAATATTCATTCTTTCTAAAATCAAGCAGCCTTAGACCATCCTTCAAACCTTCAAAGCTTCTTTGAGTTTGCCAGTCATTGACACAAAAGTAAATACAAATGGCACCAAAACCTACTCTTTCAAAAAAACCTCCAACCAAGGTGGACATTTGCTACTTCTACGTCGTCAGCATTTGTTGTGGATGTAAATAATCGAGGTACGATCTGTGTTAAGACTCACATGCTTGTTTTTACTAACTTAACTTCTGCTGTTTGTAGAAGAACACAGGAAATGGACGACATAAGGATGGTTACTGCGCGCCGCTGAGTTTTTTCATGTCCAAAGAATGTTTTTCGGCAAACATGCCACCATTTTTGGGAACTACTGCCTCCTACAGCCTTGGCATGCCTATAAATGTGCTTCATAATGCCTTGATTTGTTATTTATCTTAGCTGAAAACAAGGTGGTGACCCTCTCTCTCTCTCCTTTTTTTATGTGAAGGGGAAGATATTTGCAATGGTTTTACAAAACCCCAACCATGTTTGTATACAGCCTTAAAAAGTTCAAAACATTGTCATAACTTGTAGAATCAAGTGACACATCTCAGGGGAGTATTTTAATTAGGGATGCACCGATACGATACTGGTATCGGTATCAGTGCCGATACCGATACCAGTATCGGTAAAAGTTAACCGATACCAGGAACCGATACCAATGCAGTTGCTTCAAAATGGCTTCACTGTAACTTGTCATTTCTGTTCACCTAATATTTTAGTTTTGTGACGATTTCCATTCATATATTTTACTTTTTATCTACCTCACAGTTTTTTCCTGTTGAAAACAGAGAAGAAAATAAAATCTGTATTCCAAATCATTGCATTTTTTGTGTGTGGTAGAAGTATCGGTATTGGCAATCCGTATCGGCGAGTACTCGGATCCCAGCATCGGTATCGTATCGGTTTGGAAAAAGTGGTATCGTAGCGTCCCTAATTTTAATCACAACAAATGATGAAACATTCAGCTTTTTAAACATGCATTTAAATGTGACTTTCTATTTGCATGAAAGGCAAGGTTGGATAAACAAAAATAAACACGAACTGAAAGAATCAGTTATGATAAAACATGCAAATGCTGAATCTTAATGCAGATGAACTGGCGAGGCACTCAGAGATAAATAAAAGTGCTGTGCATCAAATTGTTGAAGCTATTGGGACGACCGACAGTAAACTGTTCTTTCTTATCTCATAGATGTTTACACACAAACACATTCATTTGGATTCAGACTGAGATTTGTGTGCACTTCCTTCCCCCTTGATTCCAAAAGAATACAAGCACTGTTTTCCCCACTCAATTAAAACCCAGCTTTGCTCACTGTGAGGAACTGATTGGTTTCTTTCTGCTACGTGTAAAAGAACATCAGCCTAAACCTAATTTCCAGGGAAAAATATTTATGCACAAACAAATATTCATTTATTTCTTTTGAGACTGTGCCGATCATAATTAAAATCTGGAAGGTTTGATTAAATAGTTTCAGCTAACGTAAACTAGCTGATGTGAATCAGTCAGGCGCACCTGATAACCTGATAATGAGCTCAGTGCTGGAGCAGTCAGGATAAATCACTACTTATTGATTGCACCATACTTACCTTCAGCCACAACCCTATTGCTCCAGTCCGATGGTCCCACTCAGTCTGTGCAATAAACAAAATAAAACTGAACCAATTAGAGATGTTTACGTTGGCGTAACACTGAGCTTTTGAGTAATTCACTCTCAGCTGTGTATCTTTGCAGGGGAACAGTTAACCTTAAACCTGGAACATTACAAAGTCCGCCCGTGACCTTGCGTGCATGACATACTCTCTTTTGCTCTTTGTGTCGCCCTGCCGCTTCTGTGCAGTCACCTTGTTCAGGGAGGATTACACTTCTGCTGCAAAAGCACATGAGATTACATTCCTAATATCGTGAGTGTCCTGAGTAATGTGCTTAACCTGTGCTGCAGGGAGGGATGGAGGAAATATTTTGCATGCAGTCCCTACCTCTGATGTGAAACTGATGACAAATGGAGGATAGACTTCCTGACCTGTGAGGATCACTTGCACGTGTTAATTGGCTGTCGTGCTCGTTTTTAAAAGTGGAACTGATGCATTTGTTTCTTTTTTGATGGTCACCTGGCTCACTGCCCACTCCCACATCCTGCTTGGCACTCACGGAGGATTTTGAGGGGAGGTGCTTTGGGTGGGTCCCTCATGTTTTATGCATTTTTCCTGTTCCCTGTATCCCGTCGGCGCTTTGCTTCTTGCAGGACGCCCGAGAAAGGAAGGGGAAGGAGCGTCGTGGTCATGTCTGGATGGCTTCACAGTCAGAAGTTTGCAAATTGCGGAGAGACTGAGCGCATTGTCCTGTCCTGCACTGAACATCTGCTGCAGCAAGCACTTAGCAGACATGGACGCGCATGGAGGAAGCGGGGAGCACATGGAGTCCGGACTCAGCTATCAATTCCTCCTCCGTAGCCTGACTTCAGGGACTCGTTGCCCTGTTCCAAGCCGCAGTTATTGAACTCCTGCCTCGTTATGCGTAAATGGATCGATGTTTGGCTCCTGCTGTGCTCGCTCGTGATTTTTACCATAAAGTTGAACAATCCGGACGCGGAATATCTAGTAACTTAATAAAACTTGCAATAATATTATTTATTTCCCTCAAAACACCTGACTTGGAGTTGCCACTTCCCCTCCCCCCTTTTTAAATAGCTTTAAATCTAATGCAACAAAAGTGTTAAATAAGAAAAAATTATATATTAATATTTTTTAAACTAACGAGAGGAGGAGGATGGAAGCTGCTTGTGGGAAGGTGGGGACGGGGTCTTTGGTGGCCGGCGGCGGAACAGGCGTGAGCGCAAAAGCGCCCAAACATCTGTGGAGGCAGCAGAACCAGGCGACGCTCTCTCCGCTCCACCACGCGCTGGCAGTGCGCAAGAACAACCGCGTGAGACAAAGAGGCTTTTCGGACACCGAGAGATACCTCAACCCGAGGAACATGGACCGGACTTACGCAGTGGACACGGGCCACCGACCCGGGCTGAAGAAGTCCAGGATGTCGTGGCCGTCGTCTTTTCAAGGTCTTCGACGGTAAGAAACGAAATAAATAAATAAAATAAAAGCCAAACAGCTTCTTCATCTGCTGGGTTGTGATTATTATTTAATTGTCCTCGGTGAAGATGGGCGTTGGGAGCCCGCCTCGTGCGTTAGAGCGAATTAGCAGCTTGTATTTAACTTTGGCCAGGATTTTGAACTCGGTTTTACATCACTTTTTATTTAATCTCACCCTGAAATTTGCCAAGACGTGATGGTGAAACTGCATTCCATGTAGAAATAAATAAACAAACATAGAATTGGTGATAAATCACCACTTCTCACACGTTATTGTTGTGATTGAAACCCCACAGCTGTTTAATTTCGGTCATCCAGACGCGCCAGCCTCGAGATGTCCAATCCTAAAACGCGAAAATAAGATTTTAATCAACCAAGTTGTTATTAAAGTCGAATGCTTAGATTTATACCGCATATTTTTCAGTTTTCTGTAGGCTATAATTGCCACACTGTGCAGACACTGATGCATGTTCCTGTGCATTGATAAGCACCAGTGGGAGTAATTGGTTGGCTTTGAACAGAGAAAGGTCAGAGGACATCTTAATATGTGCAGTTTCCTCAAAACTGCACACACACACAGGCATTTCTAGTGATGCAGAGATGGGGTTTTAGCTGATTTAAAAAAAAATATTATTTGACATTGCATTGCTTTGTGCAGGAGGATGTTGTAGAATCTCACAATAGGATGTTAAGCTCTCCAGAGTTTAGGGCATGTTAACAGCAGTTGTAGTGAACTGGATACATATGGACAAAAAAGCATCAATCCTCACAGACAGCTGGGGTGTGCAGGGAAATGTTTCTGCTCTAATTACTGACTTGTTCTCGGAAAGAAGAAAATGAAGAAGGAGGAGGAGGAAGAGAGAGAGAGAGAGGGGGGGGGAAAGACAAAATGTAATGCAATCTGAGAAGGTCACCTCAGCTCATCGGCTTAAGTGAATGCTGCAGATGGAAGTTTCTGTCAGATGGCTGGATGTTTCTTGTCAGTCCTCTTTCTTGCATGGATGCGGGAGTGGATGAGTGATAACTCGCCTGCAGGTTCAGTCGCCGCTCAGCATCAGAAAGTGCACTGGCTGACAGACAGAACGGTTCCTGTCACAGTTAGCGGAACAGTCACTCAAGAGGAGGAGTGAGAGCACAAAGTGATGTGATGTACCAAAACACTCGTGCGATGCTAAATTTGGTTCTAGAATGCATAAAAGGTTAAATAAATAAAAAGGTATGCAGTTCTGAGTCACTGAATGTCGTTCAAGAGCTATTCACATTTGCTTCAGGAGGGAAATTAGGCTACAATTAGATTAACCCAAACAAATCAGATTTCACACAGGAGACTAATTACGTAAGAGGCTCGCTGCTCGGTACATACAGAAAAGCTTACACTGGGCCCCAAAAGGGTTATTAAAATGGTTGTTTATGAGCACCAGATGGATGTTTGTTGCAATATTCCATACTTTATTGCCCTTGGCTGCATTTTTAAAGAGTAATCTTTGAGTTATGAATGTATACATACACATCACATTACAAGAAGTAATAATTTTTTATAAATAGGGCTGTGCAAATAAGTAAAGAAACGTATTTGCAGCATGTAAAGATCTTTGTTACGTTCGTACTGCCTTGGTTATCCAGTTTCATTTTCTTTAGTTCTTAGTTGTACACAGATAAGGGTTTGTTGCTACCTTTGCTGACATGTTTCCATGTGCACTGCTGCCTTTGTCAGAGCAACCACCAGATGGTGATGACGTCACTTCCTTTTATCTGTGGGCAGCAGAGAACGATATCGCCCTCTGCTGCCCGTTCCTTCTTCGCTGATCCCCGTGTCCCGTGAGTGGCCCAGCATGTAAACTCCTTCGTCCCTGTTCATGGCCCTGGGTCCACGTCTCCTTCTTTGGCCCATCTTTTGATTCAGCATCCGGCGGTTGCTCTGACGAAGGTGGCAGTGAACGTCGAAACATGTCATCAAACCCTTAATCGCTCCGTGTACAACGAAGAACTAAAGAAAATGAAAGCGTGTAAAGACCATTGTCAGAATTAGTCCAATTCCACTTTGCAAGCATGCTTTTATTTGCCCCTTCTACGCTTTTATGAGGCTAAACTCACGTACTTTGCCTTTAAAAAATTGTACAGGCAGAACGATGGCAGAACAAGGGCTAAACACCCTGGCAGTGTATGATGGAAGTCATTCCTCCATAAATTCATTTATACTTTGTATATACTTTGAGTTGTACCATCCTGTAATATTTTTCTGTACAGTTCTGTTTTCAAATATAGAAAAAACTACATATTTGCAGAGTTTCAATAGTGAATTTTACAGTGAAACAATCACAAAACAGCGATGCTAAGCCTAACCTGTAAAGGTGCATTTACACTTGTCTTTATATTGCTGCCCATGCGTTGTCCATGCAGAGCCAATCGCTTTTTCTTCTTCTGCTTCCCTGCATTTCCTCCCATTCTTAGCCGGCCCAACGCTCCCACCTATGGATCGATCAGTCTCTTAGCTACCTGCTCAATTAATCGAATTTTAATCACGATTACGATCTGAGTTTTGAACGATTATAAAAAACAAAACAAGCCGATTATTTGCTCCTCCCGCTTGCGCTGCCCTGAGTTGCAAATGAAGCGCTCCTCCACAGTGTTGCCAACTTAGCGACTTTGACGCTATTTCTAGCAGCTTCTCAGACCCCCTTCTTGACTTTTTAACTTACAAGTACCCAGTGAACACCTCAGAAACATCTCTGGTAACCCTTAGCTACTTTCTGGATAACTGTCGTCGACATTTCCTGCAGGTTAGCTAAACACTCCGCGTGCGCTCCGGACCATTCTTCAGGACATTAGGAAAGGGAATGATGCAGTGATGTGTCAGTCGCTAAAGAAACGGCTCTCAGAGTCGGCTCCCTGTTGGATTAACCAGAGTGAGTGACACACACACCGTACCTGCGGACTCCTGAGCCGCTAAAAACAGCTAAATGTGCGCGTGCGGCGTGCTAAACACACGTGCAGCTTGCCCCTGATTGCTGTGAGACCAGGTTGGGGGGTGGGGGGTGCAGCTGTGGTTGGGACAATTATTACATTAACTGATGGACCTGTAAATAAATAGTTTATAAATAAGGTAGAAATAGATAGAAATAAGTTCCTCACGCTGATAAATAATAACTAATCTCTCTGAGGACACGGTGCTAGTGCACTCTCCTACAGCACCTTGACACGACTCAATACATGTTATGCAACATTTTGTAAACATCAATTTATTTGCATGTATTTGTTATAAATGCCACTGCATAATTCTTACTGTCAGTATTTGCAAGATATTGGTATTTGGGTCTGTGCTGGTTAGACTTAAATGAGTTAAACCAAGGTCTATAACCCTTGGGTCATAAACTATGAGCTGTAAGTATATTGGTCTTTTTATCCTGGGAATCAGGAGTTCTTTTAGTGATCATCTTGTTTCTTATTTTTGTCCTGATTGTGCCCTGAGCAGTTTTATGACTGAATAAAAACAAATAAAATCAACATAAATTGAAAAATCGTCCTAAATAATCGTGATCTCAATTTCAGTCACCGTAATCGTGATTATTATTTTTGCCATAATCGAGCAGCCCTAGTGTCTACTTCCTGCATGCTCAAATCACTAGCAATATGGATGCAGTGGGGTAAACATCTTGTCTGACTCGGACAGGAGCGAGGACTGGCTGCCTGCTGTGCGCGCGCTTGCATGGGAAAGGAGCTAGAATCTTCTGGCGCTGAGCCATCGCTGGCAGCAGCCATGAAGCTCATGCAGGGGTGCGGGGAGTGGCTAAGAGTGTACTATTTTATTTTGTTACATGGACTGTAGTACCTAAATTTGACCTCAGGTTGTCATTCTTGCTTCATGCACCTTTAAAAACATTTGTTTAATATGCTTTTTCAAAAGTAATTTTGATTATTTCTAGTGTCGTTGCAAAATGTATACTTTCATACATTTTAATCTCTGCTAAACAGCTCAACTCTGCCACCTGCTGAGGTGATCAGCGTTTGAAGTCTCAGGGCCTGTACCAATCTAATACAGATCTAATCTGCTGATGATGTTTTGTCAAATGTTTCTTTATCTCAAAGAACTATAATTACCAGAATACCCAAATCTTTTAACCTCCTTTTTGATAAACGTGAAAATTGTGATTCTATTTGTAGAGTTCAACACGAAAGTGCTGTTGTTGCTAACATAAATTAACCATAGTGAAAAATCTGATTGTTGAGTTTAAGATTAGCCGATCACCAACTCTGCCAATCAGGCTGAATACTGGCTTTCATTTAACTCATTGAATAGTCTAATTAAATTAGGGCTGAAGCAATTCCTCGAGTACCTCGAATAATTGGAGAACAAAAAAATCCTCGAGTCAAATTATCTGCCTCGAGGCTTCGTTTAATTCATGTTTAATTAATTCATGGCTTTGCAGTCGCCCGGGGTCATGTTTCACCCGGACCGAAACAAGTGACGCACATACACACTGCACTGAATGCACACGCGAGTAGCAAATGTAACTTAACTTTCTCTTAAGCCATGGCGGACAACGTGGACCCCGGTGGAGTGCGAAAAAGACTGGAAATGTCAAAGGTGTGGGACCATTTTTCATGTCGTAAGGCGGGAAACGTAGTCCAGTGTAAATACTGTAAAATGGATTTAGCCTACCACAACACCACATTCCTCCATGCTGCAGCACCTGACCAGGAAACGTCCACGTGTAAATGTCACTTCTGCAAGCCGACTCGGGGATCCGCTATATATTCTGCGGACGCTGTGCGACTTTTTCATTTGTAGCACTCAGTTTCAGCTCACACCGTGCGTCTGGTAGCAACACTTCGGACCTAAAAATGTGCTAAAAATAGCAGTTTTTACACAACATGTCGGACTTTTTATTGCGTTGTTATTGATGTCTGTTGCTCCTCGGGATTGCTGCAGGAGGACAGTTATTTATGAGAGTGGCGGAGGAAAACGAAAAAGTAAATAA